CTTTGTTTTCCTTTCCTGACGCGTCAGCCTCACAAAATTTTCTCTTCGCATTCTCCCTTAAAGTTTGAACAAAGCAACACCCCACTTCGATCATGAATTTTCGAAAGCATAGTCTTTGTGTGGGGAACACGAAATCCAGAGCAGCTGATGTCAAAAACTTCAATGTACATTAGGATGTCGTTTTTGCTTATTCTGTTTCAGAAAACCCATGTAGATTGATCAGAGGTCACTGCTTTGCGCTCCGCTATTTTACCCTTCGTACAAAATCAAGAAAAACTTCTGGAAATGTACCAGTTCTCCAAGTCCGACCAAAGAACATACCACGGCATCTGTCGGTGCTCCACTGATCGTGTTCTCTTATGCTGATCGCAAGTAATAGTTTGCAAAGCCTCTCAAAAAGTTCCGCTGCTGTCTTCTTCACGCACAAGTAAATAATATAGCAGCCGTTCCCAATATAACAAAGAATAGCAAAAAGGTTGCACAGGTCTGCACAGAGTACGTACCATTCTTTTTGAACAAAATTCAAATTCAGCAGAGGTGATATAAAAATGTTGAAAGTGTGAAACAAAATTTCGAGATACAGTAGCCCCAAAATCTCCGACCAAATGCAAATTTTTATGGAGATGATGACCTTCGGAATGTTCACGACATTTTTCGCTGAACTATGCTACATTCGATTTAGAAAATCATTGCTGGCCGAAAGCACGATGGACCTGAGCCGGTAATCCCCCGAGTTTTTCGAATTAGTTACCGAAACGAGCGCAATTTTTTGGTGTTTTCGCTCTTATCGTGAACGATGAGTCTCAAATGAGTGATTTACGAGTTAGAGAGAATCACATTTTTTCCGTAGTCGACTCCTTTATCTCCTTTGAAAATATGAAAGTCGACACTGTTTGCTTTCTTTTGAGCCTGCTTCAAAGCTGTTCAATGCGGGAAACTCTTACCTCTCAAGGCAATACATTTCAATTGTCAATCAGCTATGATTTTTAGATCAAACTGCTGCGCAGCATGTCTGCTGTACATCCAGTCAGCGATGGCTACCACCAGCACCTCGCCCTATTGTGTATCGCTGGTTTCGAGTTTGGCGGACTCTCAACATCCAGTTTGTTGTGCCTATGTTTTGCCAGGTAACTTTTCTTCATCTCAACCATTAGAAGCACTGATGAGAGTTAGTTGCCACCACCTAATCACTGGTCGTTTTGTCTATGCGACTACGAATTTCTACTATTCACTGCGAGAGATCGCTTTAGACAAACTTTGTCATGTTTTTATTTTCTCCATATTTCAAAAATTGAATGACTACTTTGAGAAACCGAATATTAAAATTGCTGAACCTCTAGGTGAAATTTCTATTTAAGCGTCCACATGATGAACAGCAATATGGGCATGGCAGTGGTTTGCATGGTGAACTCGACTGAGTTTGTGGACGACAATCAAACCACAATTGAGGACGGGCTGCACCTCGTCTTCGCTGGACATCAGATCAGGAAGTCTGTATCTTTCTTTATCCATACTTCTTGTTTTTGCTGTGCATTGCTACTAAACTTTTGGAAATTTTAGCCCAATACTAATCTTGATGAGTCGAATGAAAGCGCATGGCACGCCCAATCAGCTGCTGACTGCGTTTTGTAGCTCAAAATGAGCAGTCCTTTGGTCGTCACTGGACAAGTATAATGCTAACTTAGATACTTACTCATATTAGAAAAGTAGGAAGCTTGACTGACCCTACAGTGACTGTTGGTTGCTGTTGATAGCTGCTACTATGACGACAACCATACCTAAAGGCCTATGATTGCCCACCTGCTGAGAGAGCTATAAGAGGCGCCTGTGGACCTTCCCTCGTACCTTGTTAATACTACTCGTGAAAACCACAGCAACGTTTCCCTACGTCCGCACCGAACGTTCTAGTACCTATCTTGAAGAGTATTGTGATGATGATGAACAGACACTCACGGTACATTCCGGGTCGGGTCCGGGGTAAGAATCGAGCAGCTATGTAGCGTTGGCAAACGAAAAGCTCGCTCGTGCGGAAGTGAAGGCATGTTACAATTATTAAAACGGTCGAATCATGAAATGAGCACCTGAAGCAATTACACAAAATCTACAGTCAAAACTTTTAAATTTGAAAGCCCAAATTTCACAATAATGGAGGAATTCGCGATAAGAACGAAGGTCAAAGAAGGGAAAAATTGCATAGTTGGGAGACAGGCGGACCTCCTGAGGGTGCTGACCGACGCGCAATTGGCAGCGAAAGATTTGACCTCGGCGATCTAGCATGGCTCACTCTTGGCGCGGTTGGCGGGGTACGCCCACCGACTATCTAATCACTCGCCGCAGGTCTATACGTGGCGAGTGATTATAGCAGAGAAAGCATAGTGTTGAAGAGGGCACAGCGATGAGAGTCGCAGCAATGCGCAAATCAACGGGCAAGGGAAGGGCTCTCATTCTCTCGGGTTTTGGGCCGTTCTAGAGGTTCTTCATCAACCTGCTCCACTGACCACCTTCACCCTTATTTCTGATGAGCTAACCTTTCACCGTAAAGTTCTGTATTCTAAACACAGCGTGCCCTTGTCGCCGTGATTTGTACTTCGCACATTCAAGTACTGTAGAGAGAAGGAAGTGACCAACTTAGGCCCATGTGCGACGTTGAGATTCTTGGCATTTTTTTGCTTTTTTCGCTACTGACACTTTACTTTCTACTTTTTTGACGAAAACCACAATTACTTTCCTTTTAAGCCACAGTATCACACAGCTATTCAATCGCTAAATTACCTTGAAGTGCCACCCTGAGTCCCTTCTCTGTTTTAGGGCTATATTTTCTCCGCCTTCAACGTCGGCCTGCTGCTAATGCTCATCACTGGCTTCATAGCAGACAAGTTCAACGCCAAGTACATGATTGTCGCAAGTGTGAGTTTGGCCGTCATAGCCAATCTGATGATCGCGCAGTTCTCCATTGTGAGGTGAGTTTTTCTCAGTTGCTTATTCACGTGTATACTAATTTTGAAAAAGGAAATTCAGCCTTTTTGCAAAAATTTTGAAAAGTTCACCACTTTCTAGAGATCCTACAATCGAAAAAACTCTCAGAAGTCGAAACAGTCTGAGAGGAAATGTCTCAACCCAGTCTTAGAAAATTCAATTGTTCCAGCTTTTGTTTTTTCAGCGTCTATTTCGCTATAGCCGGCCGATTTCTCGTCGGATTTGCGGATGCCCTTCTACAACCGGCGGTGAATTCACTGATCACTCGGTGGTTCCCAACTGCTGAGCGAAGTTATGCTTTGGGACTGGCGACGGGTGGACGTCAACTTGGTAAGCAGATTTTGGCTTTCACCGCTACGCTGTTCCAAAATAAGACGGTCAATTCAGGCACTTTGATCATTATACCGGCTGCTGGTGCTCTCTGTGCTCAAACGGCACTATTTGGTGGCTGGCCGTCCATTTTTTATTTAATCAGCGGGCCGTTGCGTTTTTTCGTGAATTGCCTATCATTATTGGTAGTCTATCAGAGCCTACGAATTTATACGTGGCCTAGTAGCGGTAATTGATCTACTTCCCAACTTTTCCACAATATGGCGACACCTCGCAGTGCTTCCCTGTCCAATCTTTCACATAAGCATAGAATCTGGGTCATCTTACAAAAATCCAGGGGTAAAAACCTCCCCCTAGTCTCTCTAGCACTTTTAGCAGAAGCTGAGGTATGAACAAAACTATCTCCTTACCTTTTGCACTCTTATCGTCCGACATTCTTGACTTGTTTCCACAGAAGAAATGTTCGGATTAAGTTTAGCGATGGCACTTTGTAGATGAGTCTATTTCATGAGTAGGCTACAGCTACATTAGCGGTCAGAAGTGTTCGCCGAAGAGGTTTTTCTTGCATTTCATTTCTTCCCTCCAGAGAAAGATCCGAAGATTAGTTCGAAGTTTCCTTTCAAATATCTGAATCCTCACCAGTCAAGCTTTTGAAGGATATGCCTCATTAATACATGGAGGGCACAGCTTGATTGAGAAAAAATGATGCACGAAAAACGTATTTTCACGAACAGTTTTTCCGGCTACTATACAGGGGGGGGGGCCAAAAAAAAAGACATTTTGCCTCCACTTCCAGATGGATTTAAGCACATTTTACTCAACTCAGACCGAACGGTTCCAACTTATTATTAAAGAGTGCATTCCATTCTATAAGAAAATCTTCATAGTGGCCACGTACGTGGACGGCATCAGAAGAATTAGCCCTGGAAACATGGTGCACTGGTCGATCTCAATGGGGTCTTCGAAGGATCGTGTACCATAACGACCCTTACTGGAAAGCTAGTTCCGAGGGGATTTGCACAGTGGTAGCTAATGCCTCTAGAAAACTATCCAACATTAAATCGATTCACGAAATTGCGTAAGAGCTTCAGGCTGAAGCTCTTACGGTAGACCTCCTTGAGCCTGACGACGGTGACAGATGACGTCATATTCTGAAGACGGTGAGGGCAGTGAAGGAGAGCCTGCGTACACTAATAGAGGAACACTTAGGGAATACTCTGCTGAGGAACTCCCGTCAACGACAGCAATCTCTGCGAAGAAAAAAGAGCCGAAGTCCGACATAGGCAAAATGTCTTTTTTTTTGGCCCCCCCCTGTATATACAAACGCGGAAATGTGCCCTTCTAGCGCTCAACAGTGCGCAACAAGGGAGCTAGGTCCTTGTCACTTGAGGATTCCGCGTTCAGCACAGCGGCATTTCCTCTTTCGAGTGCGTATTCCTTTTGAGCAAGTTCTTCCTCTTCAGTGACCAGTGTCTCTATGATGCACAGTCCATCTCACGAAATAGAGAAGAGTTCACTCCGTTCTCTCCGTTTCCTTCTTTCTTCTTCATTGACCGCCCCCTCTCACCCTGAATTCATTTTAGGGCGAAAACCGTTGTCTTATCGTAGAATTCACCCTCAAGTAGCCCTTCAGATAGGAATGCTAGCCTCCATCTCAGTGCACGTTGGGGAAGTCTAGGACGGCACCACACTTCCATCCAATTTTCTAGAAGAAGCCACGAAAATGCAGTGAACGGTTCGGGTGCATTGGGGGTACCCGACCAGAGGACCGTCATGCGGGAAGTCAGAGTCAGTGGACGAGTCGCAGGGCGCGATGTGCGATGCGGTGTGGGACGTACAGTGGTACATTCTAAATACTTTGAATACCTGCCTAAACATGTTAAATAAATATGTTGTGTTCTAAATATGTCAGGTTAAATATACTAATACTTACCTTGTCACGAAAGCACTACATTGCGCGCCAAGACCGCTGACTCTGCCTGCGCCCGCCTGCGAAGGCGTCCGTTGGGTACCCACAGCATTGGTAGTGGATAATACTTCAAAATGTTATAAAAAAAGGGTTGGAAAACTGATTCAGAACCGAGCTCATTTTGGACATTTAGGTGCTGACAAACCCAGCAAGCAGGCTTGTATTAGCGACGCTGAGCTCAAATTCATCACATTGTCCAACGCCAGTGAAGATGTCGGTAAGAAGAGGACGGAACGAAAGGTGGGTGGAGCTAAGACAGTACAAGCGAGATTTGTAAAATTGTATCGAGGCATCACCATTCTCTCTCTTTTTGGAAAAACGCGAGAGCACGTCGTACACGAAAGGACGCAGACGACACGCATGTTGCGATTGATGAGAATGGCACCAATGGTCTAGCGGAGGCATCAGCTCCGTTGTCCCGCATGTTCAGGTTGCAGCATTATTCCATAAAAATCCGACCTTGAGTGAGGTAGCAGAGCCTGGGGTTGCGGTCCTGCTACTTCACAAGGGACTTCTTCATTGATCTCAGCGGAACCTGTGCATTTAATGAAGCGTGCAAAAAGGATGTCGTATCCCTAGCTACTACAACATTCGAAGGATTCATGACAGAAAAGAGCAATGATGCCCAAGCGCACTGTCCAGGTGGTGGTGGAGAATATTCCAATGATCGAGAATTACATCGAGAAATACGGAAGATACAATGAGACTGTGAAAACGAGTCGCCATTCTTCGTGCTTTTGATAACCCCACACTAAATTTTTTCCGCTTTTTAAGATCAGCTTATCAGAGTGCTTCCGGTCAGTGAACTCTTCGAAGAGTTATCTTTGAAAACAAATATGAAGTGACCATGGCTACTGGTACATTCCTGAGATAAAGTTCACGACCGAATTGTAGCCGTGCGGTTTGTACTGTAGCATTTACCCGGCGTGCACTATGGCACTGATTCATGAACAATTGGTTTATGTGGTGTTGAAGATTGGGTACCTTTGTAGAAAAATGCAACATTACGTCACATCTGAATCAAATCGAATGAGAAGTCCTACGGGCTGTTCTCAAAAACCCAATTATGGAAAGCTTAAATCTTGCCGCTAATTTCTTATTAAGCACTAATCCTTTTCAGAACGAGCTTCACTCGAACTTTGCAAAAGGGAAAAGGGAAAAGGAAAGGTGGGAAGGGATAACCTATGAGGAAACCTTGTGCACATCCTTTTTTCTCCTACATATACAGTAGCGGTCAAAAGTGTTCGCCGAAACGGTTTTCCGTGTTTTTTTTTGCCAGAAAAAATCAATGGTGACCTCGAAAATTTTTCTTTTGAATATCCTGATTCTTTAAGACTTGAGGATATAAAAACACTAGAAAACATAGTATATCAATCTTTGGAGGGCGTTGCTCAAGCGAGAAAAAATAATGCACGAAAATCGTTTCGGCGAACACTTTTGACCGCTACTGTATATCTTCTCGACTTTCTCGACCTTCCAG